TCATCCTACCACTGCCACGCCCTCTTCCCCTCACCCCCCAAAGGGAACTGAGACTCAAGAAGTGTCTTATTCTGACTAGAGGTTACAGTAGCAATGAGTGCTATTGCTATTTCTCCATCACAGGCACTGGCCCATTCCAGTGAACCATCAACTCATTCTTTCTACATTCCCCAAGCTCCTTGCTCCTTCATTCCCCTCCCATCCCTTAGATGATGATCAAATCCTGACCACCTCTTGCTCCGCTGAGCGTCCCTACCCGTTTATTTCCCCCACAGATCCTGGCAGGTAGTGCCCGAGGGAAAGTGGCCGGCAGATCTGCACAGGCACAGGTAAGGGTGAGGAGGAGGGGCCCTTTCCCCAGGGACAGCTATGGGAAGGGACCTAACTGCTTAGGGAGCAGCTGGCGATCGCCCTCTGAGAGCCTGCTCCTGTGCTCAGGTTCCCAATAGTCTGCAGGAGCAGAACCACCACTCTGAGACGCAGGTGTTCCAGGGGTCACCTGGGGACCCTGGGATCGCCCATCTGGGAGCGGCTGGGACGGGGTCGGTCCGTAGTCCAAGTGCCCTGGCACCAGGTGAGCTGCTGCCCTGCATCCTGGGGCACCGATGGCTCTGAGTCTTGGCAAGCAACCCAAATTGGTTACAAAGTACAGGCTAGACACCCCCCTCCCCCCTTGCTGGAGACCTCCCAGAGTCCTGGGATCCAGAGGCTGTACTCTCTTCATGCACCCCAACCCCATCTCCAATCTTTTGATTCCTCTCCCCCGCCCTCGCCATTCTTTCTTGGGGTGTGGGAGTGGGAGAGATGGTGGGGTATAGAGCCCAGGTCTCCCCTATCACCAATGTCATTCCACTCCCAGGCTATGCGGAGCCGTTGAAGGGTGTTCCACCTGAAAAGTTCAATCACACCGCCATCCCAAAAGGCTACCGTTGCCCTTGGCAGGAGTTCATCAGCTACCAAGACTACTCGAGTGGCAGCAGAAGTCATACCCCCATCCTCCGTGACTATCGAAACTTCAACAAGTAAAGCCAGGCTGAGTGGGACACACAGGGTGGGGAGGCCTGAGTACTTTCTGCTTGCTAGCTCTAGCCCCAGAACTTTGCAGATGTTTACTGAGATCTTGCTAAAACAGTGCCTCGCACCTATTAGGTGTTCAATAAGTATGTGCTTGTGTGTGTGCGTGTAAAAGATGAATATGCCACACCTCCATCACATGTTACTGTGTGGATCAGATTGCCGTCATTTTACAAAGGTAGAAAGCACACTCAGGGATATGAACACTCTGCTGAGTCACATAACCGGGAGGAAGGGTTATCGCAGGGCTTCAAGTCCTGGAAGTCTGGGTTGTCTTGGTCTCCATCCAACTCTGAGATAAAAGCTGTTTTTCTCTGAGGACTCCTCCACATCTCACCAGTTCTAGGCTCACCCTGCTTTATCTTTCACCAGTAGTATGGAAAAGGGCGGGGAGTTGGCTTCGAGGCTGTGGAAAGCAGGAAATGGCAGACTTGAGAGTTGCTGAAGGAGGGGACTCTACTGGCTTAACGTATGGCCTTAAAGCAGGCTTAAATGCAGATGCCAGACCTAGCTGTGTGGTCTTGAACGAGCAGCTTAACCTCTCCGTACCTCTGTTGTTCCACCTGTGAGAGGAAGTATCCCCATGTGCACAAGGCTGCTATGGAGATGACATGAGAGGTCCGAGGTAACGTGACTGTCAGAAAAGAAGGGACTGAGGACCGCTACTGAGATTGCTGTTTAGGTAGAAACGTTGGGGAAAGCAGATGGGCCAATTGGGAGGAAATGTGGGGAACACTGCTCTGGAAGCCCGAAAGCAGAGCTCCAGATGAATAGATCTGGAGAAGGGCATGGGCAGAAGTTTTTCCGCTGCAGTTGGCTTCCTTGTCCTCAGGATTGTTTCTGAATACGTTCCTCTGGTCTGGGCTGCAGTGAGTGAGAACGAGAAGGGTCCAGAGAGGAAGGTGCTGGCCCCGTTGTCTTGGTACCCACTGAGGCCACACATGAAGATTGTGAGGCACTTTCATCCTAAGAAAAAGGATGGAAAGATGGGGTCCCTGAGAATACACAGCTAGAGAGGGATGAGCCTGCCTTTAACATCTGACAGGGCAAGAGGCATCGACAGGAAGGACTGGGCGGAAAAGTCTCTGTGAGAGCCTTAAGTTTTCCACCATGCCCAATTGCTGGCCCTCCCAGGTCCTCACCCACTGCCTGACGATTTATTCAGCTCCAAAGTGGGCTCAGTCTTGGCAGCTAGCTTTCTTCTTGGCTGACTTGCAGGCATTTTCCACTTGCATGTCTCAGAATGGTAGCTGAGGTACACTCTTCAGCACTAAGGAGGCCTCTTCTGAGACAGAAGGAGCACCTGAGGTAACAGAGAAGAAAGAGTTCTCTGGTGGACAAGCAGGGCCCAGCCAAGATGCTGAACTCCCAGTTATGGCCCTGAGGTCCACTGGGCTCAAACACTGGCCAGCCTGTTCCTGCAGGGCTTAGCTGGAGTAGGGCCCAAGTAGTACTGCCCTGACAGGATCCCAGGCCCTGGCTAAGGTTTGCAGCTCCACCCTTTCCCACCGGTCCTGCAGGGAAACTACAGGTATACTGCTTTCAGTGTTATATTTTTGGTGTGTGAGCCTAGCCTTTAACGACTGAGCCATTTCTCCAGCCCAACTTTCAGTATTTCTTAAAAGGGTTGTAGATGCCACAGAGGGGTCCGGCACTTGCCTATCATGCATGAGGCCTCGTGTTCAATGCCCAGCACTGCTCCCTCCTAGCAAAAGACTTACAAATCACATACAGTATTAGCCAACTACGAATGAAAAAAAGAAAAAAGGAACACGGCTATCCCTAGGTATGGTGAAGGAGATCTTGGAGATACGTGGGAGACTGTAGCCAGAAGCAGGGACATCTGGGAGTCCAGCGTAGACATGACCCTGAAGTAAAGACAGGTTCTGTTTGTGGGCCACTCTCTCCAATCCCTGTTTGCTTTGCAGTGGTTAACAAGACTGTCAGGATGCCTGGATCTCAGAAAGTTTGTTCTGGCAGCTGCTTACAAGAAAGTGTGTGTGTACAAATACTTTGTTTCATTTTGTAGCCCTTTCTCTCCCAACTTTGTACTTTTGAAAGCTGCCACACTCATATGATTCTACTTCCCTTGAGTAGCGGTATGGCTCTGGCTGGTCCACCCCTACACCAGAGGGTGTGGGCTGTTTCCCCACTTGTTAATGCCCTGCTCGCTGCTTCTTCACAGGAGCATGCAGGCGCCTCCTTCAGCCATATGCTTAGAGACAGAGTTGCTGGGTGACAGTTTACACATTTTCAGGTTAAAAAAGATTCTGCTATCTGTCCTCTGAGGTAAAAGCACCGATATACACACGTTGAGTGGGACTTCATCCCTGCCACCTCATTAGCATCCTATCTTTTGGTGGTCTGGGTGGGGGGTGACTGGGGGGTGTTCTGGACTCCGTTTGTCACTTGCATTTTGATGATTCTCCGGAAGTCCTCCAGGTTGTAGGTATTTTGTTGTAAGGGGGAGTGAGATAAGGAAGAGAAATCCACCTTCCCATGCTCTCTTCTGGCACTGACTGGAGGGGAGTCTGGCACTTTGCCCACGGCACCTCTAACTAGAAATCTCCCTTTTACTTCAACAAGGAACAAGGCAGAACTAAGGACACCACTTAATGATAGTATAGAACTTTGCTGCCTAGAAGGGGAAACTGAGGCCCCAAGAGACCACACATATGCATGTGTCTGTTAACCCTCCTTCACAGGCCCCCCTTTCCTGTTTTTCTTCCAGGACCCCAGTGCCATTTGGAGGACCTCATGTAGGGGAGGCCATGTTCCACGCAGGCACCCCCTTTGTCCCGGAGCCCTTCAGTGGCTTGGAACTTCTTCGGCTCAGACCCAATTTCAACAGAGTTGCTCGGGGCTGGGTCCGGAAGCTTCCGGAGTCTGAGGAGCTGTAGTCTCAGCCTGAAGCTATAATTCCCTGGGCTTGAGCAAAGCTCAAGAAACATCATGTTGTCTTGACTTTGCTTGCTTTCCTTTCTTCTTTCTTTCCTCTTATGCTCCCCCCACCAAGTATTTCTTTCCTCCCTTTACTGAGACAGGATCTCACTCTGTAGCCTAGATTGGTCTGGAACTTGTAGCCCAGGCTGGCCTTGCCTCAGGCTCCCCAGTGCTAGGATTACAAAGTGAGCATCTGTGGCCGACTTCAGCTGGTGAAGAGCTCTCACACACTGAGCATTATTAGATACAGCAGTTCAAAGGTCAATGTTCATTAATCCTCAAAGCAGATGTGCATCAGACATTGGATCTAATGTGGATTTGGAACCTGCTCCAGACTCACAGTCTCAGGTTGGCCTGTGATAGGAGGAGCTAGTATCAAGTCCTCCAGGTGACCCGTGTAACCTGCCTATGATGTGTCTGTAGGAAGTTCTAGCCATGCCTGCCTCTGCCTGGCTCCAGCAGCTGTCACTTACCCGAGGACAGAATGCTCAGCAGTAGACCCTCTACGTGTAGATTGTTCTGTTAGGAAGGAGTAACCTGGGGATGCAGCTGTTTGTAGAATGCTTTGTTTAACATGCCTAATATGCACAAAGCCCTGGCTTTGACCCCTAGCACACTAACCAGGCATGGGGGTGGGGGGTATGCCTACAATCCCAGCACTTGGGAGATAGAGGCAGGAGGACTGGAAGTTTGAGGTCATCCTTGGCTAGATAGTGAATTTAAGGCCAGCCTGGGCTATACAAAACTATCTTAAAAGAAAAAAAAGTTATAACTCAGGCTGGCCATGATCCGTAGCAGAGGATAACCTAGAACTGATATTTCTGCCTCCCTTTCCCAACTGCTGATTGACAGACGTGAACTCCAAGACTTCCCACTTACTAAGACCCAGTTGGCTTTCATCTGCACATGCTCTTGGCGTTTTTGAAATATGCTCCATGCTGGACAGTGCCAGGCCCAGGTCTCAAGAAGGACATGATAGGGAAGCGATTTGTAAGGCAGTTGTATACTGACAGCTGAGAGCAAAGTGAACTGGAAGAGAAGAACCCTCAGTGAATTGGTGGGATTCCAGAAACTTCCCAGAGGACTTGAACCAGACCTTAGAGGAGGGACGAGAGCCCACCAAGAAAAGAGGGTGTGGTATAAGGCCATTTTTGGTATGTGTTGAGCTGGGAGTTGAAGTGTGGCGTTTTGGGGAGAGAGGGGAGGCTGTAGTAGAGACAGAGGCTCTACTGGGTCAAGGGGCAAGGAGTTAGCAATGGCCTCATGACTTGCTGTGTGGTGCCTAGGAAAAATGCCAGACATCAGGAAGTCCATAGGAGGCAAGGCCTGGAACAGGAGGGGATAAAAAGGGGGTGGGGGGCTGTCAGCCTGTGATGTCCTTTATAGAACAGGTACAAAGTGGAACATGTAGACACTATTCCATCCTCCAGTCTGAAGAGATCCTAGCCCAAGTGATGGGGCTGTGACTGCTGATAACGAAGTGTGACAATGTCTTGGAGGCTCTCTCCATACCCTGTTCCATAGATGTGGCTATCCAATCTCTAGAAGGAGCAGAATTAAAGAAGCAAGGGTCCATCAGGGACTCCCGTCAAAATGGAACCATTGCCCTAGCTGATGCTCACTCACTCTGGAATTGTGATTTAGGGCTTAATGGGGGTGGGGTGAGGGGGCATTCCGCTAGCTGGGGTTTGGTTTATCTGAGTGGTATGAACTTGGGAAAGCCTCTTCACACTGAGCCTCTGCTTCTTCACCTGTAAGACAAGGACAAGTATAGGTCTTCTGCAGGGCTTGAGACCGCGCAGTATGGGACAGTCACAGGGGCACCATGTTAGGTTTCTTGCCCCATCCGTTCTGTTGGAATAGATCGCAGTGGATGCCATTTATAAAGCAGGCTGTGAGAATGCAGGATTCAGGTCAGTGTGAGGCTGATGATGGAAGGGCTCCTTTTGACAGGAACCCTTGGCCAGGCTGGACAGCGCAGTGGATGCATTTTTCTTTTACTCTGTGGAATTTTACTGCCCTTCCTGGTTCCAGGCAATCCGTAACCTGAATTTTGGCATTCTTCAAAGTTGGTGTTTTCTCTTGGATTTGGAGCTGTCAAAGCCAAGTTTCCATAATCTAAAGACCAACACCATCTGGCTAGTAGGAGGACTTGGATGGCTTGTGCAGCTCTCGGGAAGGAAACCTATCTGACAGGCACAGAAAGGTTCTGGAAGTCAGAGTCCTGAACCCCAGAGTAGGTCCTCATTCCTTTTCTTGACGTGTTTTTGCTACTTGAGAGTGACCAGCTTCTGTCCGGCATGGCCTATAGCACGCACCTTTCCTCTGCATCTCCTCCATTCCTGCAGACCGCAGGCAAACCACTGGTCTGTAATGTAACCGCCCTACATGAGCTGTTATTCAAGAAGGAAAAGTTTGGATCCTGAGAAAGCAAATAAACATTTTAAGTATTTTGAGGACCTAACAAGTCCTACATCAAACCTAACTTTGTATACTTTTCTTTATATAAACTATCAAGACTAGCCAACAAAACACTGGGAAGCCTGGTAGTAGAGCAGGCAGCAATGATCATCAACTAGTCCCACATAACCATAAGGCTACCTCTCAGAAGCACAGTGGGAGACAGGGCAAGTCAAACAAATAGCCTGTACGGTATTTGCACAGTAATGCAGACAAAACAGTGGTGACTCTGGAGGGAAGGTTTGTGGCTATGAATGACTGGAACATGAATACCTCTGGGGTGAATGAAAGTTCTCTATTTCTAGACCTAGCCGACTGCTAGACAGATGTCCACTTTAAAACAGTTCAAGTCTGTTATACATCTGTGTTTTATGTGCTTTTCTGCACATTCTATTAAAACGATCCCTTCTTTTAAAAGGGTTAACTTTCAGCCCCTAGAACCAATAATTTTTAAAAAGCTAACAGACAAATTCATTAAATTACACATGAAGAACTAATAAACCTCCTGTGGTGTATCCCAGTGGTGACAAGGACGGAAAGCATGAGATGTCACAAGAACAGCTCAAAGCTATTACTAGCAGCACATTCAAGTAGCAATGGCACAGCTTGGCCACATGAGGGAAGCATACACAGCCAGAGCAGACACTTTTGGGTGTGCCTTCGAGGGCTGTGCAGGGAGGCTTGGGATGCAGGTCGGTGCACTAAGTGAAGGCGCCTGTCCTGTGGGTAACACTGTTATATTGGCTGGGGACTTGGGTGACAGAGGCAACTGTCTAACTGTTTTCCAAGTTACATGTGAGCTCTGAAGTACAGATTTTAGATAAAAATGGCATCAAACCCATTTTAGATTTTCCTGATCATTTACAGTGGTTGGTGTAAGAATGACACTTCAAGTTACCATCTAACCAAAGCCACAAGCTAGACTCTATGATTGTTGTCTCTTTTTTCTTTCTTTCTTTTTTTTTAAAGACAGGGTCTCAATATGTAGCTCTGGCTGGTTTCAAACTCAGAGATCCACCTGCCTCTGCCTCCCAAGCACTGGGATTAAAGGCGTGTTACCACAGTCAGCTTCCTGTCGGTTCTTATTTCAAACCATACTACCAACTTCTTAGTACTAAAAAGGATGGGTATTTTTACCATCATAGAAAAATTTAGAATACCAGTATTCAAGGGCTTATAAGAAAGACTAACCTGAGCTATGTATGAAGATTTTATCTCAAAGTGCATAGCCACCCCTAGCCCCCCCCCACAAAACCCCCCAAAAAAGTCTTAAAAAATTGAAAAAATTGCCATTTACATAACATGCTTTTACTTATTTCACATTTAATACCAAAGGGTAAAAAGAAACAGAAATCCAGGAACATTTGGAAAATTGACCCGTTTTAATTAAAAACAAAAAATACAATACAACATCAAATTTCCCTTACCATCTACAGTTCAGTTAAATCCAAACACTCTAAGACTGAACAGGCTCCTGCCCAGAGGCAGCGAGTGAGCTGCTGAAGACACAGGTAATGCGGACGATCCAGTTCCAGCTGCAGGCAGGCAGATAGTCTTTTAGTCAAATGGACTCTAAGGCTCTTCCTTTTAGTTTGTCAAAGTGTTTCACAGGAAGTTCCTTAAAACCATTTCATCTCAGGTACCCTCTCTGAGGGTATGACTTCAAATTAGTTAAATCACTTTTATGCCACTACAATGATTAGTACTAAATTTTTTTTAGATGATATAAAAGAAAATACCAAATAGACATAAAAATGGTCAAAATATTTTTTTTAAACCGCAGGTCAATTTTTGCCTCCCGCCCAAAAAGATACAAAATGAACACACTGATGGTGACTCCATTGGTTATTCCAGTTCACCCATGTGCGTGTTCTCCACAGGGTGGGAAGGGATCAGACATAAGGCTCTTAGTACTGCTATAGTGGTAAGCAGCTATGTTCATGACAGCTTGTTTTAGGCCCGCCAATCCTCTGAATACATGTGGGGAAGCATAGCTGTGTTCTCTGCCCACATCTGAACACATTCAGCTACCATGGAAACTACAAAGCAAGGGAAATTATACTTATCCCAGGATTCATTTTCTAGGATTTTAGAGCGCCCTTTCTTCCTCAGAGCCCCTGAGTGGCGGTGTTGTGCTAGGGGCTGCTGTGTTTTCCAGCATGAGCTCCCATTCTCTGAGGGTCCTGAGAAGGGTAGTGGATTGGTCCTGGAGCTCTCATGAAAGGAGGGGGTGGTCCCATTGGGTGGAACATGTGTGGTCCAAAACCTGATGTGGAAGAGAACAAATTAGGCTTGCAGTTCCCTTGACAACCTCCCAAACCTCTCACAACCACCCACACATAAATCAAGGCTGGTAAAGTGTGAAGTAAATGTCAGTGTACAAGACTCACTGAGCACTCTCTGCCTTCATTCCTTGCTTTTTCGCTCAGTCCAAAAACTCCACACTCATGCACCTGTTAGTATGTCACCCAACTGTCTGCTACATATCAAACATGGCAAATCCTACCAGATAGAAATCAATCAGGATGGGGGCCACTAGAAAGAAACCAGATCGATGCCAAGACCCTTTCTCTATGCTTGATTCCAGAATGGAAAGACCTTCCTCAAAGACACAGGCTCACTATCAAAGAACACTAGCCACCCACTATTTTCTACATCGTCCACACTCTCATGAACACTCACACAGGGTGCTACTGCTTGAACTGTTTACTGGTGAACACTGACATGATAAAGTATATAAGCCAAAGAGTAATTCAAGTCCTTAACCAACTCCATGTCATTCATGCACGTGACAGTCTATTTGTAGGAAGGTTATCTAATGAAAGTGCTGGTTTACTGATTCCTATCCTTGCTGTGGACAGGTAACAGCTCATCAATTAGGATGAACTGACAAAGAACAGACTGGTGGCAGATGGTCTGAAGTACAGGACTTTCACAAGGGATTCTCAGGGCCAGGAAGGAAGAAGGCAGTTACCTGGTGGTGGCGGTGGGGCAATCCCAGGGGGTGGGGGCAGGGCAATGTTCACCACTGCTGGAGGACCACTTGGGGGCAGGTTGAAGTAGTTGGCAGATGCCTCCTCTTCTGCTGCAGGAGGTGGAGGCAGAGCTGGAAAGGAAGGGAAGACAATCAGTACCATGTTTCTACCACGAACATGTTGGGCTTGCCACACAGGCTATAGAGTCAAGCCTGGTATCTTCTAACAAAGAAACCCCAGCTGAATGACTTTCTGACATCAACTGACCTCCAGGCAGTCCTGGTACAGGTTCTAGCTTGATCCCAGAGTCTGTGGTTCCATCCTTCTCTTTTTCTTTTCCTCTGGCTGCTTGGGATCTGGAGACATATATACACAGGCTATCAGCACTGTGTGCAATCCCCAGTAAAAGGAAGTTCCATCCCTCCTTCCCTTTTTAGCAAATATTCTTTTCCCACAGATGTCAAAGTATAAAGTAGCCAAGAGTGAAGATTTTTGAAGGTAGAAGTTGGCCGGACTGGGTAATGCATGCCTTTAATCCCCGCACTCAGGAGGCAGAGGCAGATCTCTACGAGTTCCAGGACAATACTGACCCGATCTCAAAACAAAACAAAACAAAACAAAACAACCCAAACACCACTGTCACTGCCAGCGAAGACAACACTCATGTGTATAGCAAGTACTCAGCATACAGGAAGCATTCTAGGAAGGGACGTGCCATCAGCCTGCTCCTCTGTTCTCAAGATGGAGACAGAGTCAGTCCCCTTTGAAATTTACGGCTGTTTTGTGGTGCAAGCCTTTAATCCCAGTACTCCAGGAGGTAGAGGCAGGGGGATCTCTGGGAGTTCAAGACCAGGCTGGTCTCCAGAATGAGTTGCAGGACAGCCAAGACTACACAGAGAAACTCTTGTCTCCAAAAACTAGACAAAACAACAATAAAAACACAATACCCCCTTCTGCTTAAGAAAGAAAGAAAAGAAAGAAAGAAAGAAAGAAAGAAAGAAAGAAAGAAAGAAAGAAAGAAAATTATGGCATTTTCTCTCTTATGCAGTCAACTTCAAACTTAAATTTAAAATAGATAATCTTCTGTTTCACCTCCTTCCCCTGCCCCTAGTACTCGGTCTGAGATGAGCATTAGGTCTAATTCAACTGTAAACTCCCAACAACCACATCTGGCAACCTTGCATTATGCTTAACTTATAATGGCTGGTGGAACATGAAGACCTCCAAAGGAGCTGGTTGTTAGAACAAGACCTTGAATACATTTCTAAAGGAAGAAGCTTCCAAATACTAAGAAACGCTAAAGAAGGGGCTGCAGGATAGTTCAGAGGTTAAGAGCACTGGGTGCCCTTTCATAGGACACTGGTTCAATTCCCAGCATCTACATGGAGGCTCACAACTATCTGTAACTCCTGTCCTAGGGGATCGAACTCCCTTTTCTGGCACCAGGCACACAAATGGTGCACAGACATGCATGTTAGCAAAATATCCATACAGTCATGTAAAAAATACTAGAGAAGGACCTAAAGATTTGTAAAGGCTGTGTCAAGCCTACATAAACAAAGCTTTCAATTCCAGGTGAAAACAGTTTAGAAGACTCTTGTTCATACCTTCCCCATTTGACATTGAGTCTTCGGCCATTCACGATGAGCTTGTTAAATGACTTCTCAGCGGCTACCTCAGCAGCCTGCCTGGTGGCGAACTGGATGAAGGCACACTGCTGCCTCTGCACAACAGTGATTGTGCGGATCTCTCCGAACTGGTAGAAATGATTTCTGAAGAAACACAAACCAAGGAAAACAAGTTAGTAACCCAGATGCTGCTTAGAAAATGGAAACGGGCTATGAAATTGTTCTGCGTCACTAGTAGACAGGTGAGTGCCACAGATCTATGTGTGCTTGTCTCTAAGTTCTCCTCATACCTACCCTACTGTTACTTGTTGGAGATAAGAGAAAAATCAGGCAAGAGTTCTCATATATCTTAGGCTTTTTCTTGGGGAGGAGGGGAGGGTATTTAATTGGTTACTTCAGAGCCATAATTTCTTACCCTTAGTATAAGGCACTGGCAAACTACAGCTGTTAATGATCCATGAGCCAAGACTATTTTCACTTGAGATTAAGCCTTGCTATATTATACAGGTTAGTTTTGAATTCGTGGGCTCAAGTGATCTTACCTTAGCTGGGGCTACAAGCAAATACTATTATACAGACTCAAGAACACTTCAAAAAATGTTTAAGGGTTGAAAACTGAGTGGCTCAATGCAGAGAACACTGGCCTAATATGTGTGTCCTGGGTTCGAGTCCTAGCACTGGAAAAATAAATACAAAATTATTGAATAAAATTTAAAAAGCTTAAACCTGAAAGAAGAAAGAAAGTGGGGGATGAAGAAAAAGGCTAGCTGTGGTGGCCCATACCTAGATCCTAGTACCAGAGAGAAAGATCTTGAGCTACAGGACAGTCTATGCTACATGACAAGACCCTGTCTGAAAATAACCAAAAATACACAGTAAGTAAACACATCAAAATCAAACAAAACAAATCAGACCTGGTGGCTCATGTCTATCACTCTAGTACCAGGATGTGGGGGCAGGAGGCAGGAGTTTAGGTCCTCAGAGTTTGCCATGCTAGCATGGGCTGTAGGAAAGTACATGTCACAAAACGAAAACAAAAATGGGAGTAATATCTCAGAAGAGATCACATATGCTCAACTAGGCCCAAAGTATTTCCTCTAGCCTTTTTTTTTTTTTTTTACAAAAGCTAGCTGGCCCATGGAGATTGCTAGCTCAAAGAGAAAGGCTACCAAGGACAGGAGTTACTTCACTTCATCTCCCTGGACGAGATCTCTCATCTAGTCAAGCATGGTGTAAGCCAGAAGTACAAATTAAATTGAGATCTCTGCTAAAAAGCAACAATTTAAACCAAAGAATTTTAGAATCACAGGGCTCCCTGCCCTCTATAATAATCAGGTGTATAGGTATGTCGTTCTTTGCCTGGCAGTGATGGCACAATGCCCTCAATCCCAGCACTTGGCAGACAGAGGCAGGAAAATCTCTAAGTTCAAGGCCAACCTGGTTTACAGAGTGAATTTCAGAACAGCCCAGTTAGGGCTACAGAGAGAAACCATGCCATGCCCTAATACCCACCCCTCCAAAAAAGAGAGAGTTGGCTCAGAGGTTAAAAGCACATGCTGCTCTTGCAAAGAATCCGAGTTTGATGTTGAGTGGTTCACAGTCACCCACCGGCTCTAGAGCTCTTTGGGTTCTTGAAGCCACTTGCACAGCCTATACACAGATCACACACATAAACAGTAATTAAAAAAAATAAATCTAAAAAAAAAATCCAAATGGGCGTCTAGGCACCTATGTTATTTTTTGAGGGAAAGATGAAAAAGCACTCTTGAAAAATACAACTACTCAGCCACCTTAAAAAAGAGTTTTATAAAACTTTGAATCAGCACTCATATTAATGACAGACTGAATAAAGAAATAGAAATGTCATGTTTGGTCATGTTTTTTCAAACTATTTATTCAAAGGCAGTTAAAAGCAAAAAGAGTTCTGAAATGATGCCCACAAACCTGAGATCTGTTTCAGTAATGGTGTCTCCCAGACCACCCACATACAGTGTGGTGATCGTCTTATCCTCTGGTGGGTCAAGACGAGGCATGGTCGAAGCCCTCTTTAGAAGCTTATCAGCCACAGGGTCATTAATTCCATAGTACCGGTCTTTTATGTTCTGATCAGCAAGAGGGTCATCTGGATCGGTGGGCTTCTCGTGTCTGAGATTCACAAGAGGAAAATGCACCAATGGTGAGAATCCCTCAAATGTCTGACATTAGAAAATGTCTATACAAAAATACTGCTTCTAAACAAGAGCAAACACCAACAGAGCACTCTGTCATATACAGCCATCATGATGGTCTAAGTAATCAGCTTAAACCGCTGTAATAGAATCCAACTAAAGCTGTGAGGTTCGCCTCAGAAAAACGGCATGTATTTAGGGGGTGGTGTTACAGTTAACAAATCATTAGCTAAACCCCTAACTGTGATGCTTGGCAGTCTTGGTTGAAACAGAAGTAGCCTTCAGGAGATTGGTTTTGTTTTGACTTCAGCTATATTTTGCTATTCCCACCATTTAAATGGACACCAAATTACCATAGAAATGGAGAACTTATTAACTTAGAAACAGTCAGCATGTACATCATATGACATAGCAATTTAGTTCCTTAAGGCTTAGTTGTTAAGTAAAAAGTATAAGTTTGCCAGGCTCTTATAATGTAAGTTTCATGACAGGAGATACTCTACATGCAAACAGACCATTAGAGCTTTAGCATTACAGCTCGAGTTTAAGCTAGAGTCTCCCACTACTTAGGAGTCTGAAAGGGAGGCTCAGCTCTTACCTGTATGGGCACTCCTCTCCTCGCTTACACTCTCCTTTCACCCAGAAGGAACAAATGTGGGGCCGATTCCTTTTGTAGTATGGTGTGGTCCGGGCCAATTTGAGTAGCATGTCACTGGTGGATGTAGCTTTTCCTAGCATTCCAACCGGTCGTGTTCCATCAGAATTAGAAATCTGCATGAAGAAGACAACGTTACAGGCTGTCAATTCATTAGGGTTTTTATCAAATAGAAAACTACATCACAAGGCCTGGATTCAACTCACAGCAGCATGTATACACAATCTATTCCCCAGATAAACAATGGCATCAAGACAGTAGCCAGAGGGCCAGGAAGTCTGGTGTGAGACTGTTTTCTAGAAATGACAGGGAAGCTGCACCCATGATATCTCAACAATAAAGCTGTTAAAACAAAAACACGAACAATAGGTACACTAATTCAAAAAGGGGAACTCTTATGGGTCCCATCCTTAGACAAAGAAGTAGATGCAAGTAAGGACTGTTGAGAGTTAGTCTCTCCTGGAGATGATTATCCTAATTGCTTATCCAGTACATAGTGGTCAGCTCTGAAATCATGTACAGATAAGTCACATTAAATGAATCCAGCAGGTGGCAAGCAAGGAATTACACACACACACACACACACACACCACACTAATAAAAGAAAAAGAGGTCATCTTTTTCGAGGGGGAATGGGAGAGGTTGAAGAGAGAAGACACAGGAGGGGCTGGAGAGAGGAAGTGATATAATTAGATTTTAATGAAAATAAAAAACATACTTCTCTTTCCATATTTTGGGTGTAATATTCTTTATTGACATCTGATTTAGGCATGTCATCTTTAAATGACAATCCTGCATCACGAACCTGGATGGGTAGGCCTGGTACAAAGAAATTGAGGAATTAAAAACCTTAGATTTGATAACATATTCATATTCAATATGTACATAAACTACAACATCACCCTTCTCCATCCTAGTTGGTGGAGACTTTAAGAGATGCCCCAGTGATTAAGAGCACATGCTGCTCTGCAGAGGATCAGAGTGCAGTTCCCTACAACCATGCAGGGTGGCTCACTGTCACTCCAGCTCCAGAGGAGCTGACACCCTTTTCTAGACTCTGCCCTATAGTCACATGTGTACCCCACCCCCATATATACACACACATAATGAAAGACAAAAATAAATCTTTAAAATCAGATCATCAACCTACTTGGTGACAGTTTACAATGTTTTAAATCACACTGTTTAGCACCATTGGGCTAACAACTGCTATAGAGAGTACCCTAAGAAACTGTCCAAATTCCCGTGCTGACATGGAAGTTGGTGAAGTGGCTGTTTTAGGAATTGTTTCAAAGACTACTTTAGGGCCAAAGTAAGTTAATAGAGTATCTAGCTTTTAACACAATATACTTAAAACACATAGAACACAATGGTTTATTGTTAGATTGGTCTTGAAGTTCCTATGGATGGCCAGTTATGTTTAGTAACACTGCATTCCTCCCGACAAACATATGAATAATATAAAACAATATTCAGCCACAACATGTTTTCTCTCTCTGCCCCCTCCCCTTACTGGTACGTAACTTTTTCTGAAAGGAAAACCTCATTTACATAAAAAATAAAAACAATCCCAGAAGCAAGTGTTTTGAAATAGAAGCAATACCTGGTCCTAACAGCCCTCAGCATAATTAGAACTTGTTCGGGACTGTGCAAAGTTTTCAGGCAAAACACACACACACACACACACACACACACACACACACACACTATCATAGGAGCAATGTATTTTATTCCAACTGGCACAGAGACAGGCGTGTAGGCCAGTTCTGAGTTCTTCCCAATTGCTCCTGAAGTTCCTATTATTGCTCAGGAGGTCTCTAGAGGCCTCAGTCTGCATTCTAGCGTGGGATGGGAACAAGAAGTGGCAGGCAGTGGGCTGGCCTGCTGGGGACCTGCACACTCAGATCTAGTGAACATGCAAACATACCATACTCTAGGTCTAACAGGCAGGTCTGACAAACATTCTTCAATTTACTGCAGGTCTGGCACACTTCAGTCTTCTTGAAACGCATGCGGACGCCAGGGCACCAGCGAAACACTGTGAATGGCCTGGCACAGATCTGAACAGACATCAAGAGGCATAGAATCTTAATTGTTCTGACCTGGACTCAATTCAGATTGAGTAAGTATGGAGAGTTGACCTTGGCAATCAGCTATTCACATGCCAGCCAACCCAATCCCATTTATTTTTTTTTCTAGAAGTTAAAAAGCTAACACAGTATAGAAATAAACATTCCAAAAATCAAAGCCTTCCTACCTAGAAGTAAACAACATTAAAAATCTCTTTATGTCTTTTTGGTGGGGAACAAGGAAAGTGAAGCAGGAAATATCTCTTTCAGAATATTGTGGCAGCCACAATCGTCCTCCTCTGCTAAAATGCCTGGCATACAAACTTGTGGTTTTCGGTGCATATTTAGACACCTGTTTATGAATTTACACCAGAATGGTCATTTTCTTATCTGCCATGCTAGTTGTCAGTTACTGACTATATCAACAAGTCTATGAAAGCTGTGAGCATGGACTTTGAATGGAGGACCTTAAAACTTAGTAAGCACAAAGCCAGGAGTAGAATAAAGGGAAGAAAAGAGATAAAGAAAATGAAAGTTGGTACTAGAGAGATGGCTCAGAGGTTAAGAGCACTGTCTGTCCAGAGGTTCTGAGTTCAATTCCCAGCAATCACATGGTAGCTCATAACTCTCTATAATGAGATCTAGTGCCCTTTTCTGGCCTGCAGCTATACATACAGGCAGAACACTATATACATAATAAATAAGTAGATCTTAAAAAAGAAAATGAAAGTTAATTCTTAATAAACATACTTACTTTACATTCTTTTCCATATTTTTCTTTGGTCTGTAATAGAAAAGAGCTGGAATTACCACAGAGAAAGCAAGCATACAGACAGACAAATGAAACCAACCCAGGTATCTGTTTTCCCCCCTCACCTCAAAGTATAAAAAATATGGTATGTGTCTGGAGATATCTGAAATTATAAAGATAATGAAATCAAACCTAAATCATCTTTTTGTTGGGGATATGGTAAGGGATGCTGTGATGGTTAGATTCAATTGTCAACTGGACATAACCTAAAATCACCTGGGAAGAGTCTTCATGATGGACTGCCTAAACCACATCAGCCTGTGTGCATGTGTGTGTGGTTTATCTTGGTTTCTTTAGTTGACGTGGGAAGATCCAGCCTGATCATGGGCTGGCTCACCATCCCCAGAGTTTGGACCCTGGACCCTGTAAGTAAAGAAGGGGCTCAGCACTGGCAAGCACACATGCATTCACTCTCTGCTCTTGACTTGGATGTGATGTAACCAGCTACTTCATGTTCCTGTTGTCCTGACTGCCCCATAATGATGGACTGTATCCATGAACTGTAGGCCAAATAAAACCCCATTCTCCTAAGTTGTTTTTATCAGGGTGTTTTACCACAGCAAGGGAAATAAAATTAAGACAGATATATTCTGACAAGGTCATATTCTCTTAAGAGTAGATGGATCTAATACCAAGTGTCTTCCCAGAGGTATAACTCTTAGATCTACTTCCGACTTTCAAGAACTAAAATTCCTAATGGAAATCCATATATTTTCTTTTATATGTGGAACCTAGATTTCAAATTGTGCTTGTGTATGTGTGTAGATCATGAACCAAGAAAAGGGACCAAGTGAGAAGAAAGAGTTTGTATGTAGGGATAATAAAACAGGTGTTGTTAGAAAGAAGGGTAAACTAGGGAAACTAAGAAAACGAGGCACAAAGGGGCAGGGAGAAAGGGGGAGGGCAGTGAAAGAGAAAAGAATTGAAAACAAAGTACGTACATACGAAAAATGCCAAGATGAAATCCATCACTTTGTACGCTAGCCTAAAAAAATTAATAAGAATGAAAAAAGTCTGTTCTGGGAGGTGGCTACTTCAAGGGCTACTTTGTTTTCCAGGTGAAAGCTTTCACAATTTCCAGCAATGTTTCCTGTTGACTAATCTTTGAGGAAACTGTTTAAGAATCAATCCAATCACCTGGCTGGTTGGCTATGTGTCTGGTGGGGCTGGCTACCAATCTAATGGTTGTTCCAGGAAAACCAAGACTGGAGACAGCAGCACCTAAAGCTAGAAAGGCTTTCCAAAGCATCTACTCTCGAAATGTGGTCAGCAGTTTCTCTTCATGATAGTTCTCTAGGTCACTGGTTTGGAGGAGGTACACAGTGGGGAAGAATTTAGGAAAAAGACAAGGTCTCACTGCACAACGCTGGCTGGCCTAGAACTTGATTTGCAGACCAGAATGGTCTTGAACTCAGAGATCCACTTGGCTAATGGCTGCGATTAAAGGCAGCCATCACCACTCATGGTTGGTTTACAATATTTGTTTTTACACCCAATGATGTCTATAAGTAAAAAAATTAGCATCAATATAAGAACTATGATTTTTACATTAGAATGTGGATATGCCATCTAAATCTTTCATAATATATGTTATCTAATGGGATGAATTTTAAAAATTCTTTTGGGAGCTGGAGAGATGGCCCAGTGGTTAAGAGTACTGACTGCTCTTCCAGAGGTCGTGAGTTCAATTCCCAGCAACCACATGGTGGCTCACAACCATCTGTAATAATTCCCTCTTCTGGTATGTCTGAAGAAAGTGACATTGTACTCACATACATAATATAAATAAATAATTAAAAAAAAAATTCTTTTGGTGCGAAAACCAAAATTCTGGCCAGGCGGTGGTGGCGCACGACTTTAATCCCAGTATTTGGGAGGTAGAGGCAGGCGGATCTCTGGGTTCGAGGCCAGCCTGGTCTACAGAGTGAGTTCCAGGACAGCCAAGGCTACGCAATGAAACCCTGTCTCAGGTATAAAAAAAAAAAAAAAAGAAAGACAGGGTTTCTCTGTATAGCTCTGGCTGTTCTGGAACTCACTCTGTAGACCAGGCTGGCCTCAAACTCAGAGATCCGCCTGCCTCTGCCTCCAAAGTGCTGGGATTAAAGGTGTGCGCCATCACCGCCCGGCGAGAAACCTTGTCTTGAAAACCCAAAACAAAAAAAAAGAAAACCAAAATTCCTAAAGTCTCTAGCCACCAAATCGAGTAGGATGATAGTTACAGTCAAGTCTTTCTACAGTTTGTGCAGAAGATAACTGCTCTGGGCTCACCTGTGCTGACACATAGTATATATCCACAACATTCTGTTCTCATAATAGAGTCAGCATCTCTGAGGCCAATCACAACATACAACCCTATAATCATTGTTGCCTGTCACTGTTTTACCCTTTTTGGAGAGGAGACAGAGTGCACCTTAAACTAGAGAGACTACCACAAGGTGCAGTGGCTGAGAGATACGTAACTAGTAGCCAGGAAGTAGTGCTACATAAAGATACACTTTCCTGTCAAAAGACCTACTTTTTAGGTTAGATGCTCAACAAGTATTTGCCGTTACATTACAGCTCCTACGTTACAGGATTACTGCTCAATGTCTAGGAGAGGAAATAGGTAGAGTAGTACTTTGCAAGTTGTCCTGCGCTTTGGGTTAGAAAACGAGCATCAATTCTTCTAATGGCTAAGAGAAACTCTTTACAGTCACCTTGCATGGACCACAGCATAAGGAACAGTTAACTCCCGCTGCACAAAAAAGCACTTACCATTCGTATATAAGGGTTTTCTCCAAGACACGTCTGACACAGAATGGGGAAGTCCTGGAGAAAATGGAAAATCTTGTTGAAGATCAAGTCCCGAAGACCCTGTTCCCTCAGTCACTCTCCTGGGGTGGGGAAGGATGCAAGGCTGGCAGGAGCCCCAGCTCCCGCGCTGGCCGCGGCTCGGGAAGGGGCGCTGTCTGCACTTCCGGCAGGAGGAAAAAGGAAAGCATCTGGGAAGTGTGGAGTCGCCGGGGGACACCGCTGGTCCCGGGACCCTGATCCGCCGCACGAGGGCTCGCTCTCCTCCCCGCTGCCCTACCGAGCTAGGCCGCAGCTCGGCTCTGGCCGAACCCACCGCACCCTGAGGCAAGGCTTCCCCATCCCTCCCTGCTCGCCATTCCCGCGTCCTCCTCCGGCGTGCACTCACCGCGTCTTCCCAGTTCTGCCTGTTGTAGGTGTTGGAACCTAGAGAAGTCGCCATATCGGGAGTCCCGGGACAGCTCCAGCTTCCGACTCGAGAGACCGACCGCCACAATCCCGGCAGGCTCAGGGCTAGCGCCGGGCTACGTATAATCTGCGCGCCCAGGGCGGCGCGGGGCGTGGCTTCGCGTCGGGGCGTGGCCTCGCGTTAAAGCCGGCGATTCAAGGCGCTTCTTCGGAGCTCACTTGTAGGTCCTTGCTTCTAAATAAGGAACCGGTGGGATCGAAACGCAGTTAGTCGTGGCTAGGCGCAGACGTCTGTGTTTCTAATACTTTGTACTAGAAGCGGATTCATTACCAGGAAACTACATTTAACTAGACATCCATTATCTTCTGTTTCCACCCTACCATTATGGTAAGGATGTTGGTTACTTTTTTTTTTTTTAATAGAAAATGTTTTTGGGTTTTTCTTTTTTCTGTTTTTTTTTTTTTGTTTTGTTTTTTGTTTTTGAGACAGGAGTTTTCTGTGCAGCCTGGCTGTCCTGAAACTCACTCTTAGATCAGGCTGACCTCGAACTGTTCACCACTACCATTTGGCTTTTATGATTTGTTTCAAATATTTATTTTAAAAAATTTGCCGGGCGTTGGTGGCGCACGCCTTTAATCCCAGCACTTGGGAGGCAGAGGCAGGCGGATTTCTGAGTTCGAGGCCAGCCTGGTCTACAGAGTGAGTTCCAGGA